CTCGGCGGCTGCATATGTTAAAAACTGGAACAAGAAAAGTGCCCAACGATGTTATTCGTTGACTCAACGACTGAAAGTGAAATTTATAAGTAGATTTAGCATCAAATGTCCAAAAGAGGTAAGATAATAATAACGTCTACCAAAAGTACAAATATTTGCCTCATTGTTCGTGAGTTCAAAAACTGTAGATTCTATAAATTCTTCTCTTTACTGTTACAGTCCTTTTACAGGCGGAAGTCAATTTGTCCAAGCTGATATTTCATTTGTCAAAGCGGAGTTTTTTACCTGATAATTCAATAATTATTTATAATTTATCAAAACAAAAGTTAGATACACGAAAAGAACAAAGTGCCTAGATTCTTGTTTTATTAACTACATGGGAAACATAACAATACGATAGTCATTTTGTCCAACGATTGAAAACGTTGGAATAGATCCGAAAAACGCTTATTTCCGACGTTACATGTGCCAAATTTGTTTCAATTAAATGTTCCTGATAATTTAAACAAATTGTGAGGTGAAATTTGAAGAGATATTGAAGGCTGTCGAGAACAAAAAAATCGGCAGACTCGGAAAACAGATTTGACACAGATTGGATTTTGCTATTTTATTTATCATATTTTGCTTTTAGCGATTTATTGATGCTGGAGGCAAATGTTTGATTCAGAAAAAAAAATTGGCAGACTCGGAAAACAGATTTGACACGGATTAAATATGCATGAAATGTTTTTCACTGGACGTTAAGCAACCAAAAATCAATCAATCAATCATATTACTAATATCTGCAAAACTGAAAATAATTTAACAAAAAAGTTCAATTCAAGACATTCAAAAGTTTCATGATTGAACTGTTGCTATGGCATCTGCCCACCAAATATCATTTACTATTTTATTGTTCCATAAAAAGTAACATAATCAGGAACAAAGATGCAAAATGATCGGTGGGATAATTCAATCCCCATAGAAATAAAACATACTGGTGTTAATGCGATTATATACCACATATCAATGAACCATGACTGAGTGGAAGGAGCTACAATGAAAATGACCACAATGAAAATGTAATGCAACTGCATACCAAATATCTATGACTTATCATAGTTACATGGTTCCTGTTAAATTGAGCTAAGCAGATAAATTGTTGATGACGAAAGAAAAAAAAACACCATGTTTCTACTAGGCAAATAAGAACCATTTAGGTCAGAAATTGGCTGAAAATATCAAATTAAAATGTTTACTGAGATTTGTCTGGCCCTACAGTTTTTTATTCCATCAAATTTTTGAATCTGTCTTGTCAGGTCACCCTTCTTTTAATCATTTGTTGTTATACCTAATGTAATGGTTTTTTTACTCTAAATCAAAGGTCTTCTTTCTGATATGGTCATGTTTCTTTGTTCCCCTATGTACAGGGACAGTATTTCGACATGTATGTATGCCCGTTAAGTATGCATGCAAGATAAAAATTGCAGAAATTACTTATTAAATCATGCTGAAACTTTCTCAACTTTATTCACAACATACATGAACATCAATCCCCAAGGGTGACTGTGGAATAGAAGTATGGTCATCACAGGTCTTCTTCCGACTGGCAGTAGAACCCTTGCTAAAGTGGGGCGTCCGTTTGGCTGTGCGGGATGTACACGTAATTAAGTGACTGACAGACCTATGAAGCAATGTCATTTCTTCCTTTAGTGTAATGAATTTCACAATTGCCGCACATTTGTTGTTCTTGTGGTGAAATACAAAATATTGAATGGATGCTATCTTTGAAGAATTGTCAGAAGTGCATGTATTAACTTTATTTATTAATACTACATGGCAAATTCTCTCGATCATTCTACTATAGATTTTAGAGAATATAACTTGGTCATTTTTGACTATACGTCACTTTTGAAATTGTTCCTAAAATACTATCATCATCTGGCTGTGGTAAATCCAATACTTGATTTGTCTTAACTGCCATTCTATGATAGAGCCAGGCAGATGTTAATTCCAGAGGGTTCTCAGAATTTCATGAAATTTATTGTATGCATTGCATATATATTGAAGATATGAAATGTATTTTTTTTTTTTTTTAATTTGGGGGGTCTTTTAGGGGGCTTAATGTTTTCAGCCTAATTTTGGCGCAATTTTGCTTTACAAATGACAATTTTTTAATCCACTATTTGTCTGCCTATTGCACAACATCTGATTGTTTTCATAGTTTAAACAAGTAATTGGATAGTTAATTTGACTTTTCCATTCTTTTAGATATCTTCTTTTTTTTCAAAAAAATATTTTGTTCAAGGGAGATAACCCATTACCTCAAAAAATTGAAAAAACCCATTTTAAAATTGCAAAAAAAAATTTACGGACGCTTAAAGTTTTATGAAATTGTTTGTTACTGAACATTTATCACCTATATTAAAATTAACTAAAAGATTTTACTCGGGTTCAAATTTATTTTCATCTAGTAGTAATTTCAAAATAGTGATTTTTTTATGAAATATTGGACATATTTTCTTCTGAATTTGGCTCTATCATATTATCAGAGTTTTAAATTTTAATTTTGTATTAACTAATGAATAAAACATACAAAACTGTTTTAAAAAGCATTAATATTCAAATAAATCAATAATGGATTGGATATCAAATTTAAAAAAAAATGATTGAATACCCCCCTTTTTCATTAAAAAAACAACATCATTATTAAGTCATTTAAATAGCCTGTTGTATATACAGTTTGCATGTATATTATTTGCTACCCACACTTTCTCTCTTTATCTAATTTGGATGACCTTTATCAAAAATGTATTAGTATGATTTGGGAAAAGAAGGGGGTGGGTGGGGAACTTATACATGTTTCAACCACGAAAGGATAGAATTTAATCAAACTTATGAACAGTCGATAAGTCTTTTTTATACATATAATCTGATTTTGCATATCTAAAACTACATTTTGAAAGTTTTTATGATTTAATGAATAATAACAAATAAAAAAAAATGAAATACAAGTACAAGAAACAGAACAAAATTTTTAAATACATGTACATCAATTTCAAGCAACATTATCATGATTATCAAGCACATGTTAGAACAATTTTTATTAAAGTGATTAAATAAGTCTTCAATACTATAAAGTTAATTGCAGACAGTATCAGAGATCCAGCATGACTAGTAATGTGAAGTAAATACCCATTACATAAATCATATAAATGTTCATGTTCTTTAACTTTTTTATACATCACTGGAAATGCCCAAGTCATAAAGATGCTAAACTTCAAGTGGTACCTTTGTATATAAAAAGAGTTGCTGGAGATATCTTTGATTTAAAGCTTGTGTATATATCAATTAAATTCAACAGAGTGCTTAATAACAGAATGGAAATTACTTTTTAGAACAAATTATACATGTATACATGTTTGTACCAAACATTGTACCCACTATGAAGGGTTAGAAATTTGCTATTCCTATACAAAAATAAAGTGTTACTAGAATGAGGTCAAGGTGAAAAAGCCATTCAGTTGTTTAGGAGGAGTTGCAGATGAGAGATGCTAGCCCTTAGCTTATTGGACTGAAAGAAGGACAGAAAGATAGACAGACAAGAATGTTAACTAGAAACTTTAGTGATTAAAGACATAATGAACACATTGGCCCTAAGAATTTAAAGTGGTTAGGTTTATGACCCCTTCCATAGCTTTGTCAGTAGGTGTCTCAATAAATTTTCAAAGTGCAATAATTTTATAACAGCAAAAATAATAATCATGATAATTAATCATGTTAATAGAGATGTGCCATTTTATACATATACCAACATGACCAAAGGGAAACATTGTTTAATGCAATATTAGTTATTAATTTTTGCAGAAAATCCAGACTTTAATACAGAGATCTTGTTAGTGGGGGATTTAATATCATGGATATACTCTTTCCTTGAAATAAAGGAAATTAAATCCGCCACAAAAATTTCAGCTTTTATAGTATCAAGCAAAGAATTGTCAGACATAACAGTACAAGAGGAAGGCTGTGGATTTTCTATTAAATTTCAATATGTTTAGCATTGGAACAACAAAAGTAAACATAATCCTTAAAGACATAATGAACACATTGGTCCTAAGATATTTGTTCAGTTACAGAGTCAACAATGTTCAAAGTCTCAATAGCATCTAACTCTGTTAGAACTTCATTCAAGTCATCATCAACTTCTGTTTTTAAGTTCAATTCTAATCCTGGACGTTCTGGGTTCTGTTTCTGTAGTTTTAATTGTAAGCTGGCAAATACACCTCTAACCTGTTGTGCTGTGACCCAATCATCAGGAGCAAATAATCTTCCACCTGCATCGTTTTTTTTTCATTTCGAATTTTATTTGCTACAGTAAGGGGATTTGCCTTTTTGCCAGTCCTCTCACCTTCATCAAACATTTGTTTGATATAATCCTTAACTGAAGCCTTGAAACGCACAAATTTCCTTTCTGATTTTAAGGCCCACCCAGACTTAAGGTTTGATGGCATATCCATAAAATCTGCTCCAATAACAATACTATGCTCATCTTGTTGTTCATTATAGTTTATATTGGTACCATGGGTGCACTTCTCTGCCCAAACATACCCCAAGGGTGACTGGGGTATAGAAGTATGGTCACCATTGGTCTTCCTCCGACCGGCAGTAAAACCCGTGCTAAAGTGGGGCGTCCGTTTGGCTGTGCGGGATGTACAAATTTGCAGCCACGTCCGGTCAGAATGGGGACGTTAAATCCGATGCCTCGTGTAAAGAGAGTGCCACGCTCTTTGCACGTTAAGAACCCTTGCAACAACTCTTTGAGGGGTCCGTAGGTGACCTGTTGCAAGGCTAAATTTCTGTTCCTATCCAATATACCCTCATTTCCCGTGGCAGTCTAAATTTCTCCGACCTTAATCCCTTAATCTATTACAGATCCTACCTATTGTATTTATTGTGAACTTGTTCTCGTCCTGAATATGCATGAAATATTTGCCACTGGACGTTAAGCAACCAACAATCAATCAATCAATCTCTGCCCAAACTTCCATGGCAACATCAGTTATTTTGTCATTTTCATGGTAAATATGTTGTCCAATGGCAAGATGTTGTTCTAGAGTGGAAGGTTTTCTAAACGACTTGACACACCCAGGAATTGTGCAACTTAAATCTCCATGCCCTACTGAATTATTCAACTTGAGTTTTGTTGGTCTTAAATTAAACGTTTCTTCACCATGTTCACAGGGCTCTTCTATAATCTGAAAATAAAAAAATGGGTAATATTTGACATTACTGATTAAAAGCCATATCTTTATATCATGTTTATAAATCTGATATCGTCTATAACATACTTTAAAAAATTAATTTGTTAAAACTTTTTCATATATACAAATGGTATATCTACATGTTTTTTTTGTAATATTAAGAAAGTGACCAAACAGTCTGTAAATATATACAGGCTGTAAAGAGTCTGTATTTCTAACCTAGGTCTATGAGTAACTTCAACATTCATGACATTAGATACTTTCTTACATTGTGGACTTTAATAGAATTCATGAAAAAATTCTTTTTTTTTGGTATATCTTGTTTTGCTGCTAATTTTTTTTCTGTTTACCGTTTTTCTCTATTTTTTTTCGTTTTTGTCTCACTCTGAAATGCAAAAAATAGTAAGAAATATATCAATAAAGGTAATCACTAATTTATGACTATAACATGAACCAGGAGTAAACCAACAATTACGGCAAAGTTTGTAAATATTGACTTTTTGATCCTTTTTGCTATTTAAAGTGTCTATCTATCTTTTATAGTTTTCAAGATACATGCAGTAGTAAAAAAAAGTAAAATATTGGTAAAATTGTCATTAGCCCGGTGAGCTAAAAATGTTATCCAAGTACTAGTGTTAATGTTGTCAAGGTTATCTGTATGTCTTGTTTGATTTGCTGTTCTTGTTGAGTCAAAGACACAAAACCTATTTACATACACAAACCTACCTTTATCCTACTCTCATCATAACTGAGGTTTCTGGAGATCTTTTCTAGTATAGTATTTGTGATGAGATATCCACTTCCTATACCAAATGCTTGATAGACTCTGATTCCTTGATCCTCAAAAACAAAGTTTGACATCTTGCTGATCTTGAAGTGTTTAATTGTCCCTATCAAAACAGGTGGGTTCTCAACTGAAATGTCAACTAGTGTTACAAAGGTATTTCTAACACCTTTGTTACTCTCTAGTGCTCTCTTCAAATCTGCTGGATTTTCAATATTATTTCCTTCATTAGCAAATTTTAGCACATGCATCCTACAAGTTCCCGTTCTAGAATCACACAAGTCTTTTCCACTTTGTACTTCACTGAAGTTGTATTCTTTTACCCGTTAATCAAACAGAGAATTGTTCTTCCAAATAAATGCCATCAACTGCAAGGAATGGTAGCAACCTGCATTGTCTGATTTAAGGAACACTTCTTGTAAATTTTACAATTAGTTTAATGTAATGGACACTGGTTTCACATTAAATTTGTTCACATCTATACACCTTGTTTAATTGCCTGTACATAAGATTTGTTCACACTTGTAAACTATATGTCATTTAAATGTTCATTACGTAGAAACGAATGCAAAGTTTTCGGACAACTTTTCTAGCAGTAAGGGAACGACCATTTCACTTCAAACCAGATGCTCCGCAGGGCGCAGCTTGATACGACCGCAGAGGTCGAACCCTGAACAGTTGGGGCAAGTATGGACACAACATTCAAGCTTGATACAGCTCTGAATTTGGATTGTGATTAAATATTTGACACAGCATAGGTTTCTGACACAGAATGAATGTGGTCTAAGAACTTAAAAAATTTAAATTGGACATTTACCTATTTTGTCTAATATCCAAAATCTAAATACATGGTTAGATTCAGCATATCAAAAAACCCCAAGAATTCAATTTTTGATGAAATCAAACAAAAGTTTAATTTTGGACGCTTTTGACCTCAATGTGGACCAATTTGATAACAGGGCCCAAAAATCAAAAATATAAATACATGGTTAGATTCAGCATATCAAAGAACCCCAAACTAAGTTTAATTTTGGACCCCTATTTGGACCAACTTGAAAACTGGGCCCATAATAAAAAAAACCCAAGAATTCAATTTTGGTAAAAATCAAACTAAATTTAATTTTGGACCCTTTGGACCTTAATTCAGACCAATTTGAAAACGGGACCAAAAATTAAAAATCTAAATACAAGGTGAGGTTCGTCATATCAAAGAACCCCAATAATTCATTATTTTATGAAATCAAACAAAGTTTAATTTTGGACCCTTTGGACCTCAATGTGGACCAATTTAAAAACGGGGCCCAAAATCCAAAAACTTAATACACGGTTAGATTAAGCATATTAAAGAACCCCAAGAATTCAATTTTTGTTAAAATCAAACTAAGTTTAATTTTGGACCCTTTGGACCTTAATGTAGACCAATTTGAAAACGGGACCAAAAATTAAAAATCTAAATACACAGTTAGATTCGGCATATCAAAGAACCCCAATAATTCAATTTTTGATGAAATCAAACAAAGTTTAATTTTGGACCCTTTGGACCTCAATGTGGACCAATTTAAAATAGGGGCCCAAAACCCAAAAACTTAATACACGGTTAGATTCAGCATATCAAAGAACCAAAAAGTTTAATTTTGGCAAAAAGGAAAAAAAATCCCCCCCCCCCCCAAATTTTTTTGAACCCCCTTATGATTCATCATCCCCAAATTCAATCCCACCCTTCCCTTTGTGATGTGGTACCTTGCAGTACAATTTCAGAGAGATCCATACATTTGAACACAAGTAATTGTCTGGAAACTAGAAAAATGCTTGTTTTTTGGCCCCAAATTCCTAAACGTTTAGGGCAATTACCCCCAAATTCAAACCCAGCTTTCCCTTTGTGATATGGAACCTTGTCGTACAATTTCATAAAGATCCATACACTAACACAAGTTATTGTCCTGAAACTAGAAAAATGCTTGTTTTTTGCCCCATTTTGGCCCCTAATTCCTAAAATTTCAGGCAATTACCCCCAAAATCAATCCCATCCTTCCCTTTGTGGTATGGTACCTTGCAGTACAATTTCAGAGAGATCCATACACTTGCACACAAGTTATTGTCTGGAAACAAGAAAAATGCTTGTTTTTTGGCCCCTTTTTGGCCCCAAATTCCTAAACGTTTTGGGCAATTACCCCCAAACTTAAACCCAGCTTTCCCTTTATGATATGGAACCTTGTAGTACAATTTCATAAAGATCCATACACTTACACACAAGTTATTGTCCTGAAACTAGAAAAATGCATGTTTTTTGCCCCATTTTGGCCCGTAATTCCTAAAATTTTGAGGCAATTACCCCCAAAATCAATCCCATTCTTCCCTTTGTGGTATGGTACCTTGCAGTACAATTTCAGAGAGATCCATACACTTGAACACAAGTTATTGTCTGGAAACAAGAAAAATGCTTATTTTTGGCCCCTTTTTCCAAAATTTTTTGGGCAATTACCCCAAACTCAATTCCAGCTTTCCCTTTGTGATATGGAACCTTGAAGTACAATTTCAAAAAGATCCATACACTTATACACAAGTTATTGTCATGAAACGAGAAAAATGCTTGGTTTTTTTCCCCATTTTTTGGCCCCTAACTCCTAAAATTTTGAGGCAATTACCCCCAAAATCAATCCCAGCATTCCCTTTGTGATATGGAACCTTGTGGTACAATGTCAGAGAGATCCATACACTAACAATAAACTTATTGTCTTGAAGTTACAAAAATGCTTATTTTTGGCCCCCTAATTCCTTAACTATTGGTACCATAACCCCCAAAATCAATCCCAGCCTTCCTTTTGAGGTATTGAACCTCATGGTAAAATTTCATAGAGATCCATTCACTTAAACTTAAGTTATTGTTCGAAAACCAATGTGTCGTCGGACGACGACGACGACGACGCCAACGTCATACCAATATACGACCGCAAAATTTTTTTTGCGGTCGTATATAAAGGGGATGGAAAATATTCCGATCCCGAATTTGATAAAAAAAAATCTGGTCATACAGATGATAAAAAAAAATAATCTGAATCAAGAGTTTCCCCATATATTATTATATTATATATTTGATTGCTAGCATCGAAAAAAAAACTGAATACAAACATTTGCGAGAAAAATTCTGACTCAGATAAAAAAAAAAAAAAAACATACCCCACCCTTTTTTTTTTAAAGTTAAATGGTTGCTCCTTTATGAAAGCCATTTTGATGATTTGCAGTAGTTTAAAGATACTAAAGATGTCTCGATTATGCATTAGAAAAAGTAGGCTGCAGCAGTGTGCATACAGACAAAGAAAAAACAGAGATGTAAGGATCACTACATTTATATCTTTTCTGTTTGTTTCAAATGGTATTTCTTCTCCAGGGAGTATTTGACAAAGGGAGGGGGTAATGTTTTTTTTTATTTTTCAGTGTAATTTAACGCATCTGAGATATAAGACAAACAATACATTTACCTCACACTTTTGGTAATTCATTTATGAGTGAATCGTTGTTTGAGTAAAGACCAGTGGCAAATATTTCTGTGTACGTCGAGTCGGTTTCGGAAAGACCTTTTCAAATGAATTATGTGTTCGGCAATGATACTGCTTTGAGTCTTGATAAGGGTACCGGTTAATAAAGCTACGCAAAGTTTTTTTTATAACAAATGAATATATCGTTTAGACAAATATTTCTGTAAAGAACTTTATAAATAATTGTTATAAATATCAATTTTATTCAAAAATCGTTTCTTCCTTAAATATACATGGTAAAATTAATGTTCTAAATGCCTAGTTTTGTGTACACTTAACCTACACAAGGCCTATATTGACTATCGACTGCGTGTAGACAAAACAAGATTTAAACTACATGTACACATTGAGTTTTATCAATGGGAACGTAATTGTGTTTAGTTTACGTGTGAGTTACACTAACACAACACTGAGTTTAGGTCAATGTGAACATGGCCTAAGTAAGTCCTTAAATTTGACAGCAAAATACAAAACAACCTGGCATTCTGAAAGATAAATTTATAATAAGGATAGCTTTAAGTTTGATGAAAATCACACTATAATTTGTTTCTATTTTTAGCAACAGCATCAATGTTTGTTGGTTGGCCTACATAATTGACAAAAATTTGATAATAGATACATTAATTATGATCCTGGCTAAGATTAAACACAATCCAATCAGCAGTTTCAGGGAAGATTTTTTTAAAGATTGACATTTACAATAGGTCTCTTCATGGAAATGAACCCCAAGGGTGACTGGGGAATAGAAGTATGGTCACCATTGGTCTTCCTCCGACCGGCAGTAAAACCCGTGCTAAAGTGGGGCGTCCGTTTGGCTGTGCGGGATGTACAAATTTGCAGCCACGTCCGGTCAGAATGGGGACGTTAAATCCGATGCCTCGTGTAAAGAGAGTGCCACGCTCTTTGCACGTTAAGAACCTTTGCAACAACTCTTTGAGGGGTCCGTAGGTGACCTGTTGCAAGGCTTAATTTCTGTCCCTATCCAATATACCCTCATTTCCCGTGGTAGTCTAAATTTCTCCGACCTTAATCCCTTTATCTATTACAGAACCTACCTATTGTATTTATTGTGAACTTGTTCTCGTCCTGAATATGCATGAAATATTTGCCACTGGACGTTAAGCAACCAACAATCAATCAATCAATCATGGAAATGAAGATTTATACTGTATTATTTATCAAACTTACCAGAACTATAATTCTGCAGACTTGAATTAATGTCAGCAGCATCAGGATTCATTTCATCAACTGATAGAGAGAATTCATATTATAATCCTTACTATGATTTTAAAAATAATCTATAAATAATGAGCATCCCATTAATCAGTTAGTTTCAGCATTAAATGTAGCATTAAATGTAGGTCACTGTGATGCAATTGTTGATGTATTGTGTAGTTCTTTACAATAATGTAGTTTTGATATATCCATGATCAAAAGGATGATACATTACTATAGGAGTGTTTTGATAAATGAATATGAACTGAATACTTAACAAAAGTCAGTGAAGTGTGAAATATAGGTCATTGTGACTCAAGTTATGCTGAACAGTGTTGTACTATACAAGATGACTGTAGTGAGTACATATCATTGATATATTACCATATATATATATTACATACTAACATGACTGACTGATGGAAAAGGGTAAATCTAAAGTTCATTTGTATTGTTGTCATGTCAGTCAATGTTTCACGATAAAAGTTCATAAAACTTGAAATTAAATTGAACATCCAACATGACCAACTTAATAAGATCATATTCATCATTTAAGAATTGAACGCTTCTTTTTGTAAATTCATTGGGGTGTAAAAGCGTTGACCGAAGTACATTTTGTATGAAGCGCTTTATTATTTAAATGTGTACATGGTCAAAGCTTTTACAACCCTATGAAAATACCAAAAGAAGCATTCAATACTTGTAATTACATTTTTTTGCTATGATCATGAAAACACAATTACCATGATTACTATCATTTTTTTTTTCTTTTATTTACCTGGGCACTTTATTGTAGAAGCACCTGTCAACATGAATGTTACAATTCATTTTGAAATGAAGTTGATTAAGAAATAACGTAAGATTGCAGTTAACCAATCAGAATAACATATTATAATGACACATACATCTAATGTAACTATAAGCAAATGTATGTATAAACCAATTTTTGTGTTTACCGTAATCTTCTGATGGATATGTGGCTGGTGAAAAACATGGACTGCAAGGTACCATCTGTTCACTTCTATTAATATTCTGTTCATGAAAATTCATTGCAACTTTATGGAACTCCACTTAAATAAAAATAGAAATAGAAGTTAAAATTGTATACTGTACTTGAACTTAATGTCGAGAATTTCGCAATCGGTAGATATTTGCTTAAATTACTCCATTCTAAAATGCAAATAATTCAATATGCATACATGCATATATATGGTTAATCTGATTAATAAAAAAAGAACTTAAATAAACTCTTCAAACCACATACTTATGTTGTGCTTGGTTCATATCTGTCATATTTTTTTTTGTAAATGTTTTGTTATAAAAAAGGCCATTAGTTTTCTCAGTTGAATTGTTTCCTATTTTTCAAGTCTTGGACTTTTAGAGCTAACCAAATGGTACTGTATTAGATTGTATCATTGTTTAAAGCTGTATGGTTGCATCCACTTCATGTGAATTTTGGTAGTCTTATTGGCAATCATACCACATCTCCTTTTTTTATACCTAAAGAAGTACATACAGTGTGTATTTAATAGTGTAAATATTTGCACCTATATTAACATTATAATTAGTACAGTTATATTACTATTGCATAATAGCATACATGTTAAGCCTACCAGGTCTTAGTTTTTTGCAAACCTCACACCTCCTGAATTTGCCAGGATTTATACATGTACTTCACTTTTTTTGGACAAATGGCAATGTTTTTATCAGGGAATATTGATATGGGGGAGTGAAACCAGCTTAGATATTTCGATGTTTTGTTCTGTTCTGGTATATACCTCCGTTAACTGTAGTTCTCTGATTTACATTTGATTAAAAGTAAATTATCAAGGCCGGAAATATTGAGCAACCTTTACAGTATTCTGTAAATTTATACAAGCAAATTAATATCCATTTACAAGAAATTATCATGATGATTATGTATATAGGTACATTGTACATGTAGTATGGCCTTAAGAATCAAAGTCACATGATATTCTTATAAATCTTCCCTTATTTGCTGTCTAAAAGATGAAAACAGGTAGTAAATGTATATATTATAAACCTACCAATATCATTTTGTACATCTACAACTGTAAGGTATGTTTTCTTGTGTCTTTCTACACAACTTCTGCATAAACCTGTCATAAATGTAAATATAGAAGGTGGATAAAAAAATGTTATGGTAAGTACATATGGTCTGAATCATGAATATGATGATTAATCTTAAACATTTCTTGTAATTAAATGACCTGTGGAACAAACATTATTTCTAGTTTATCCTGCATAATGATGATCACTTGATCGCTTGATGAATTCGAGTGTAGGAATACAGGTGAATCCCTCTATCTGGTAAATGAATGACGTCATAAAGGTGCATATAATTGACAATTTTTTTCCGGTGGGGAACATACATGTACATGTAACATACATAACATAACAACCCATCACATACTGTACGTACATGTATGTACATAAATTAGGCCATTAGTTTTCTCGTTTGAATTGTTTTACATTTGTCATTTGGGGGCCTTTTATAGCTGACTTGGCGGTATGGGCTTTGCTCATTGTTGAAGGCCGTACAGTGACTTATAGTTGTTAATTTCTGTGTCATTTCAACTCATTTGGTCCTTAGTGTAGAGTTGTCTCATTGGCAATCATACCACATCTTCTTTTTTATATAACTCGAAAGTAGTCTATTATAATTTAACTCAATTTATTTTTTAACAATCTGTTTTTACTATACATTTAGAATCAGTGGCAGATCCAGAACTTTTCATAAGGGGGGCCCACTGACTGACCTAAGGGGGGGGGCCCGCTCCAGTCATGCTTCAGTGATTCCCTATATAATCAACCAAATTTTTCCCACAAAAGGGGGGGGGGGGGGGCCCGGGCCCCCCTGGATCCGCCTATGAGAATGTTGTTGTTAATCTCATAAAATTCTTGTTTTTCATTCTATAATGTGGTAAAAGCTACATACATGTATGTAAATAAAAGGAATGATAAATTGTGCAAGTTTTTTATCTGCTAAGAAAAGAAGAAAAAAGATAAAAGACATAACTGGGAGGTATAAACTGATCCTGCATCATGTGAATGGTACATGTATGGGGAAACCAACAATTTTTTGCATGGCCTCAGAAGATTTAATGTTTTAATTCTGCAGTGGTTCTGTTTGAGCAGTGCAATTTCATTGACTCGAGTCTATGTTTTGGTTTTTTTACTTTATGTCACCTTAATGTGCCATTGGCAATGCCACAGTGGGGGATCAAGAACTTTTAAAAATGGAGGGGGGATGCCTACTGACCAAATAAGGTGATGGGCAGTGACTTCCAAACATTTCAACTAGTTATTTCCAGCAAAAAGGGGGCTCTCTTTGAATGGGATCCCAATGCACATGATGCAAATAATTTGGTTTTTTTTTCACGTATAGAAATAGCATGTGCACAGGTTTACAGGATAAAATTTGAATATCATGTGAAAATTTCCAACAAACACTACAAAAGTCTAAAAGTCTGAAAAGACCAGTTTTTGTCTTAATTTGCATGAACTTTTACTCGATATTCTCCAAAAGTATGACTTGTGTCTTAATTTTTCTTGACAAATTCTCATTTATATTAAATTTGTATGAAATTTAATCGACATATTCTCGACATTCTGAATATGGTCTTAAAATTTCTTGACAAATTCTTGACATTTGAATACTGTCTTGAAATTTCTCGACATATTCTTGACATTCTTATTTTTTCTCAGTATGGCTTGACATATTCTGAACATTTTGAATCGTGTCTTTAATTTACTTGACAGTTCTGAGTTTTACAAATCATGACCAATATTCATGATATAACTTTAATCTTTATTTCTCTTTATATGATATACTGTTGTTTCAAGTTACACTTCTTTACAACAAAAATAAAAGTTGGGCATGTAAAATAATTGAAAATTTGGGCATATAAATATTTTTACAAATGCAAATATGGCTATGAAATCTAAAGTATAAAATAATTCAAATGTGGTTGTGTTGATATAAAACAATTTCAATGTGGGTTTTTAAATAATTACAAATTTTGATTCCTAAATCTTATAAATTAAATGATTCAAACCAATCATACTGTAGACATATTTCATTCTACATTCATAATATTCAATGTTGATATGGTAAATAATTATTATACCAAAATGTGGTTTATATAAATAGCAAATTATGATGATATACAAATCATTCATTTAACAGAAGAAAAATTTGTGTAATGTCATCTGTTGGAATATATTAAGTATTACACATGGACAGGATGTTCCCCATAAAATTAAGGTATTCCACACCCCAGAGTACACGCAACTGTCAAAAAGAAGTTATTGCTTTACCTGTAATCAGCCATACAACTTATCAGTTGACCGACCATGCCACTACAAAAGTTTGTTGATAGATGAAAATGAAAATCATCATTTTGATGAAAAAAAATTGAATTGAAATGGATTTTCTTCATCAAAATTATGGAGTTAATTATTTTAACATAAAAATAAATTGAATAATTCCCAAAGATTAAAAGAAAATTATTATCTACTCCAGGAATAATAAAAAAAATGTATTTATAATGGGTCCCATCAATGATTTCTATATAAAACGGTTCTCAAACAGACATGCATAATATAGATCTAAACATTTTTTTTCTATTCAGGAAGGAGTTTTTTTTTAATTATTTATTAATATTTATTTTTGATAAAAAATTATAAAATTCAACACTCAAATTTGAATAAAAAATGTTTTTGGGTTGTACTAAAAAATGAATAAGGTTTTTGAATCAAGATGGGAACAAATTCTTTGACCTAAACGAAAGCCCCCCCTCCTCTTTTTTTAGCTACACAAACCCAAAAGATGAATTGTGGGGTCCAAAAGAGATACAAGACACCTATTTTAGTAAAGCAAATTTGACTGGCAGTTTTGCGAACGGCAAAAATCTAAATGCTGTTTGTCAATACCTTCTACTTATATTCCAAGTGAAAACAATTACTTAAATGTTTAATAAAAATAAATCAAAATTAAACTACATGGGGGATTATTCAGGGTATTACAACTTAGTTGCACCAAAAGGGTATCTTACTATATATACCAAATTAATCCTTGATTCTTAAAAGTTTAATTTAGCCATAATAAAAAGGAGTATATAACAGCAATTGAATGTCATAAACAGTGCAGAATAAGTCTGTTCACATTTCAGGCGAAATTTATACTGTTGAGATAGTGTCAAGACATATTTAAGACTGTCAAGAATGTGTCGAGACATATTCAGACATTATTTAGAATGTCAAGAATATGTCGAGACATATTCAGACATGCCCCCAAGGGTGACTGGGGAATAGAAGTATGGTCACCATTGGTCTTCCTCCGACCGGCAGTAAAACCCGTGCTAAAGTGGGGCGTCCGTTTGGCTGTGCGGGATGTACAAATTTGCAGCCACGTCCGGTCAGAATGGGGACGTTAAATCCGATGCCTCGTGTAAAGAGAGTGCCACGCTCTTTGCACGTTAAGAACCCTTGCAACAACTCTTAGAGGGGTCCGTAGGTGACCTGTTGCAAGGCTAAATTTCTGTCCCTATCCAATATACCCTCATTTCCCGTGGCAGTCTAAATTTCTCCGACCATAATCCCTTAATCTATTACAGAACCTACCTATTGTATTTATTGTGAACTTGTTCTCGTCCTGAATATGCATGAAATATTTGCCACTGGACGTTAAGCAATCAATCAATCAATCAATCATATTCAGACATTATTAAGAATGTCAAGAATATGTCAAGACAGATCGAGACAAATTTAAGACAGTCAAGAATTGGTCGAGACTAATCCAGACTCTTATCAGATGATACAGGAAGTGTCGAGAAATTTTAAGACAATGTTCATACTGTCAAGACACTTGTCAAGAAAAATCAAGAACCTTATTAGACAAATTCATACTATGTCAAGAATTTTTAAAAATTATTTAGACAAATTAAGAATGTCGAGTAAAAATTCATGCAAATTCAGACAAAAACTGGTCTTTTCAGACTTTTTGAATTTTGTAGTGAAATCTATGGTTTTCATGAATTATTCTTAATTATAAGATGACAGTTATAGTTTATCAATGGCGAAAGTTAGAAAAGCAATCAAGTTCAGATGACTAACAATAATCTGTTTACGCTATTTTACCTACATGTACATGTATGATAATGTTGTCAATTAATTTCAATAGCAATGTAACATGCCCCTTAGTTTCTAGTGAAATTTTTCATATCACTCGACTCTGATGAGAAAGGAAATTATCAGTTAGTAAGATCAATTTTTTTCCCTGAAATAGCGATAATGTGTGTTACAGTATAACTTATAATTATATAACCATGTATTGTCCCAAAATATAATTCAATTGTGCTCAGCTCAAACATGTCAAAACAGGAATAGCCTCACATTTCATCCAATTTTTAAGCTTACACTCTATACTTGGAGACAATGAACGTTATTCCATATCATATGTCTCATTGCAACACGCAATATCTAAATGCAAGCAATTCTTACCAACTCCAACTGCTGTGATGGTTCTGTCATGCACCCATATCTCTTTTGCAATGGCAAGTGTTATTCCCCGATCTGGCTTTTCTTTACTTGTCTTTGGGTGTAAGGGATGTGCACATGTTCGCTTACATCTATACCATTGTGTACTAAGTTTGTCTCTGTGAGAGTCTCATATTGTCATTTTCATAGTGGCATTTTCCACCGTAAATAAACCAGCACGATACAGTATTAATAAACCCTCTGGTATTGATACATGCTTGTCTTTTGGACCGGATTTAAAACGAATAAGATGGTCACTGATATCACATCTCAATTTATATATAATTTGACAATCTCCTTCGCACTTCACTGCATCAAACGATCTAGAAAAGCTACATTCTTGTTTAGCAACAAGTGTTTCCATGGGGGCTGCCATTTTGATTGTGACAGGAAAGGTTTCAAAGGGGAGGTAATCAGTAAAAATACTGTTGAAAATTTGGTTATTTTGTTCACCAAAAAAATATATTTACACTGAAAACCCAAGAGAGAAAAATTATCAATAATTCATATAACAACTATATTTTATATTTCATTAAAAATTAGAGAAAAATAAGCGTCCTGTATTGTTTTGTCTTAATTTAAAAAAAACCTCACAATGTCAAAGGTCATGTGACTTACTCTATTTGACCTGCTTTCAAGGGAGGGAGGGTTTTACTATGAGAGAGAAATTTTATTTTTTGCATCAATCTGAAGACACTTGATGTAGTTGTATACTTTTTAAATC